TGAGGTATTGCTCGGCTGAGGGGTGTTTACCCGGCTTACAAGTTCGATGGTAGGTACTGGTGTGACCGTGGCGGCAAGGGGTGCAGCAGCGCATTCGTTAAAAATTCTATCTGCCGCGGTTGCATATAGTTCCGGTGTCGTAGAGTAATCTACTGCGGACAGGATGTTGCGTACTTCTGTGGGTAGCTTTTGTGCGTGAAGCTGGCGCAGGATAGAGTCGGGGAGTCTGTCTGTGTGACGGGAGTTCAGCCGACACATCTCCCATAGACGTCCCGGGGTTGCGTTCCCGAGGGAGGTAGAGGATAGATCTTGCAGGAGATTGGGGCTGGTCTGTTGATAACACGTCTTCAAGGCAGCCCGCAGGGTAGCGAATTTGTTGTGATCTGGAGGGTTGGAAATGGTTTGTGAGACCAGCGTGGCCACTTCCGTGGGTAAGGCACAAAGCAGGGCGCAATACTTTTGTCCGTCGGTAGCTCGTGAACCGGCGAGGGCTGCTTCCACATGGTCGAGCCAGTCCTCGACGTTGTGGTTGAAAATCGGCAGAGAGATCCGTTCGTCCTCCATCCTGTGTGAGTGCTTATCTCCGGGAGTCACCATTGTAGGGGTATCGAGATATTAATGTTGTCTAGCACTCAGGATGGAAGGAAACTCTAATGTGGTTTTCTTATATAATATATATAAGTTATATGATAGACAGTCTGGTGCTGGAGATGCCGTGTGGTGGGGAGCAGCTCAGTAGAAGACGTTCGGGAGTATCGTGTTGAAGGAGGTAGATGTGCAGGAGCTTCGTTAGAGAAGGTGCTGCCTGTTGCTGGCCTCCTGGTTGAATGAAATGTTAACAGCGTGGAGCTTGCTGGAGATGTTGCTTGTTCAGGAAAATGGGCAGAATGAATCTCAATGGAGAGACAGAGCTTATATACACCCGGCAGCAGCCGCCAGTCCTCTATGAGTCATGTTGGGAAAACCCGAGAAGTAGCCGGTGACTAGTTTCGTTGCTAAGATACGGTAACATCTGGGGACAGCTCTCGCTTGGTTGCTTGGGGAGGCGGCACATTGGAATGCGGATACGCTTGGTGGTGGGCTGCTACGCAGTTGTAGGGGAGAATTCCACTACAACAGACTGTTCGACACAGAACTGACCCACATTGTGTTTACAGAAGAGGTTATAAGAAATAAACTGTCAAAGCTAAAGGTCCATAAGAGTCCCGGGCCTGACACGGTGCATCCTAGAGTGCGAAGAGAGTTGTGCAACGAGCTTGCCGAGCCCCTGAAGATCCTGTTTTGTAAATGCCTGGCTGAACAAAAGGTCCCCAATGATTGGAAAATGGTTTATGTGAGTCCTATCTTCAAGAAGGGCGAGCGTCACTCCATGAACAACTATAGACCGGTGAGCCTGACCAGCATAGTATGTAAAGTACTTGAGAGCATTATAAGAGATGCCACTATGGAACATCTACTACGAAACACGGTTTTATGCCGGGGTGCTCCTGCTTAACACAATTACTCAAGGTATTGAATATTTGGACCCATATTCTGCAACAGGGTGGTATTATCGACAATATATACCTAGATTTTACCAAGGCTTTCGACAGCGTACCCACGAAACGCCGAAAATTAAACTGGAAGGGTACGGGATTCGGGGAAATGTCTTAGCGTGGATAGAAGACTTTCTGCATGACCGCAAGCACTGTGTGATGATTAATGGCACGAAATCACCATGTTTACCCGTCACAAGCAGAGTACCACAGGGCAGTGTATTGTTTGTTTGCTTCATAAAGGACATGCTTGAAGCTGTACAATCTTCCATAAAAATGTTTGCCGATGAGGCCAAGTTATTTCGGGAAATTAAGAACCAAGCAGACTGTGAAGAGCTGCAGAAGGATTTCTGTGAGCTCCAAGAATAGTCGAAGATATGACTGCTTAGGAGGGGTATCATATGTCCCAACGGGACGAAGAAGCTGCATTAATTGAGACAATGTGAAAAGGACCTCGGCGTGTATGTTTACAATGAGCTGAAGTTCTCGGGCCATTGAGAACAGAAGGTAAATCAGGCAACAAAATTATTAGGTCTTATACGAAGGTCGTTCAGATATCAAGACGTTCAGTTCTTCGTAGCGATCTTCAAGAGTGAAATGCTTCCCCATCTGGAGTACTGTCACCCCGTCCACGAGATATGCTAGGGACTGTCAGTTGATTGAAAATGTCCAAAGGAGGGCCACTAGACTGGTGCCTGCACTAGGGCACCTCAGCTACCCTGAGAGATTGGAACGTCTGAACTTGCCTAGCTTATACAGTGTACTATAGACGGGTAAGGGGAGACCCAATTGAGGTGTATAAGCATATCGAAGGGCACTATTCGGTCTAGTTTCCTTATCTGGAGCTGGCGGACGCTCGCCCCACATGGGGTCACAGCTCAGGGTTGAAGAAGCCGCAAGCCCAGAAAACTGTGAGGGGTAACATTTTCGGAGTGAGAGTTGTGAACTCTTGCAACAATCTGCCAGAGAGTGTTGTGACGGGACAAACTGTGAGCTCTTTCAAGACCTGACTTGACCAACACTGGGGCAGGTTCAAATACATTCAGGAGCCAGTGCATGCCCAGTACTTGCCAACAGTGCGTAACAGAGACGTGACCGACCGCCCAAGCGGCTATCGAGCAGTGGTGAAGAGGATTAAAGTAAAAAGTGAAAAGTTAATTTGTATAGTTTGGAATATACTGGGTAATATATATAGTTTAGAATATACTGGGTAATATATATAGTTTGGAATATACTGGGTAATTTGTATAGTTTGGAAGATACTGGGTAATTTGTATAGTTTCTAAATAATATTACCCTTCAACCGTACAGATTCATACCATAAACAGTTTTGGCGTGGTGGTGTGTTGGTTCAGTGGGACGGTACTCGATGTTGATGATGGAGGCCTCGGGTACGACTCCTTGACTGTCTCTTAGGAGACATTGAGCAGGTCGAGGCACAGAGGCAGAATTCTCAAAGGTTCGTAAGTGAAATTTGTTTTTATCTGAAGTATCTGTGTTGGGTGGCGATGATGACCTAGCAAATGTTTCGTAGGGTAGATGTATATTAAGTATTTATTGTTGCACTTTGTTTATTTTAGATTAATGGGTAAAATTGAGGGTAGGGGGGGGGGGCCAGGGGAAGACAGAGACTGGGGTGGATGAATCATTTTAACAGTTGTCGTCCCCGGAGAGATACAGCATCTAGAAGATTGATAAACACAGCCCAAAAACATTTAGAGTAAAGGGTCGTGGGTGCCAACCCTCAGACATGATGGTACTTTCATTATATTATGCTAGTGTCTGTTCGTCCGTCTGGTTTTCTGCAGAATTTACCTTATCCGAAACACAAAACGCGGGTGTCTCGTTTAGACAATAATTGTTATATAACTTCACAATCGGTTAAGATATTACAGTGATTGAAGAAGCCACACTTTCAGAAAACTTTCATGACAAACTTGTTTTGAGTGAGAGTTGTGAACTGGCGCAGGTACAGATACAGTCTGGAACCAGTACATACCTATAGTATTTGCCAACAGTGAGTAACCGTGAGTCATGACCAAGCGCCCAAGTGGCTAACAGGCTGATCAGTGGCGAAGAGAATAAAGTAAAGTAAATAAAGCTGTGTGGATTCAGGTCAGCAAACACTTTTGGAGGTTCTGCATTACTGTTTAAAATACTGCGTTAACATTAAAAATATTCAATTAGTGGTGAGCTCACGCAAATGTATTTGTGTAAACGGAGTACATCCTGTTTGTCAGTGTCGGGGAAATCCGTGATTACATTCCCGACACAGTTGTAATGGTCACATCAATTGTCAGTGTAACAAATCGAGGTTTAACTCTCTATCAAATTCTTACTAAATATTGTTCGAAAAATTACTGTTATAATGTTAATATTAGTGTTTCCCTTAATGTTAAGCTCTATTAAATTCCCGTTAAGTATAAGACGAAAACGTAAAGTGAATTGTGATCAAGTTGTGGTGGTCGACGATAGATGGCGCTTTATTGAAGAAAAACAATCCTCCCCACCGTCCTTAGTCTCACACACAAGTAAACAATTAAAACTAAACATCCACCAGTGAGTTAAACACGGATAGAGAGAGGGCAAGAAAGAAAGGGGGATAGAAGGAGATAGAGGAAAATTAAGAGAGCAAAGATAGAGAGAGTATTGGCCTTACACACACACACTAGTCTACTAGAGTGAATGAATGCACAGAATGAGATAAAGAAGATGAATAGAGAAGAAAAGCATAAGATAAGATAACAGGATGACCACAGGGGATGAAGACCGGAAATTAATACACACACAGACACTCACGATAAGCCACTGAAAAAGAACAACATAAACATCCGCAGGTCAGCAGGAGTCACTGAATGTCTACTTGAGTCAACTGATATTAAATTCTCCACTACAGTTAACTTAAGTCACGAAAGATCAAGAACAATATTGTTAAAAGAGGTAATGGATCACCTGAAGAATCATCACCCCAGCTTATTTCACCTAACGATTAAACCACCCTAACCTAACTTAACCTAACCTAAACCTATTCTATCCTAACCTAAATCTAACCTAACATATCCTAACCTAACCTCATCCTCTCACAATAGTTTTAGGGTGGTTTAATCGTTAGGTGAAATAAGCTGGGGCGATGATTCTTCAGGTGATCCGAAAATAGTTCTCCATAATAAAAAAAAAGAGAAATAAAATAGAGTAACGCCGTGACTCGATCTCGGTCCTCTAAAATAGCAAACAGAAAGCTTATCCACTGGACCGCAGTTCGGCCATAAATTTGACGTTTTTACGATATTTGAACGTATAATCATGTTCGAAGCTTCAAATGCTTCAATGAAGCTTCGTGACGTCACTCTCAACCTTCATATATAAAGTCTCGACGAACTCGTTTTCGGTCCATTCTTCACTCACTAGCTGCAGCTGACAGGGAGGTAAGACACCCCGCACCTCTAGTCTCTATTATATACGTGTAATTTTTTTCCGAATGTCTACAGTCAATATGGCCAAGAGAAATGGTTATTCTTTTGGTTAGTGTTTATATGTACTTAATTATGGCGTAATAAATGCTGATTTAAGTAACAAACTTACCAGCCGGTTGTTGCAGTTCACTTGGCTTCTAGAGACGTATCCCCAAGTTTCACTGGGCCGTAAGGCCTATGATACCTACTTTGCAGCTTAAACAAATACATTAATATGGGTTAGTATTATATTAAATGTTTCTCTAACGTCTAACCAGTAATTTATTAACGTTTTAAAACTTTTAGGGCAAGTATACCGCCAAATGAGCCATAACAACCGAGCCGAAACTATAAACCGGTGGCGAGTAACAAGCGTAAACCGCACATCAGTATTTGCGTTATAATTAACCAGTAAGTGAGTGCAATGACGAGATTGGGTGAAATTATTGTATTTATTTTTTTAATTTCACATTTTCCCTCTTGCTTCGAAGCCCAGCCCACTTTTGGCGGAGCCGGGTGGTCGTAACTCAATAGTTACGCATTTCATCTAACGTTCATCACCAAAATATAACTGTTTTGTGGAATTACGATACAATATTTTTCACTGGCTAGTTCTTTGCTTCCTCTTTAACTAGGATTTCTGGGAGTTGAAACCGAATTTATTACGGGTTTTAGCCGGGCGAAGCGAGGCATGCTAGGCGAGGCAGGCAAGAAGCCAGACAGGAAGCGAAGCGAGGCGAGTTGAGGTAGGGAGCCGGGCGAGGCAAGGGAGCCGGCGGAGGGCGAGGTTGAGGGGTTTCAGAATATTTGTACAGTGTATATTAAATTTTTAAAAGTGGACAACCATGGATTTTAGCATCGGAAAAACACATTGGTCAACAACCAAAAAGCACCAAAACTAAACTAACGTAACGTAGCCTAACAACGTAACATAGCCTAACCTGGAGGTTCGTTGGTTGTCTGCTTGTAAAAAAAAAATACCGGGTTCCTAAAATAAATGTTAAGATGTATATAAAGACACCGTTAAAATGTATTGGTAAATAAGGCCGTAACCATCTAATTAACCTCTGGAAAATGTTAAAATGTTTGGCTCGCCTGAAGATTCATCCCCCAGCTTATTTCAACTGAAGATCAATTTAACCTAAGCCAATCTACGTATTACAATGTGTTGGCGAATCTTTCTTTTTCAGATCATGGAATGACTGCAGATTCAACTACAGTACAAAACCCTCTGTTATTGGTGTGGTGCAGTATGTGGTCAGTGTGGTGCAGTATGAGGACACAAGTGAAGTGTGGAGCAGTATGTGGGGACAACAGACCACGAGTGAAGCTTCTCACAATACACAACGGTGTTCCTTCAGGTCAATTTTAACGTTTTGTGTGAAGGTGTGGGTGTGCGTAGCTTGCTATGGTATCATTTAATGTTTGGTGAGGGGTTGTGGGTGGATGTTGCTTCCTGTGGTGTCGTTTAATGTTTTGTGAGGGTGTAGCTGGGTGTGGCTTGTTGTGGGGTCGTATAACGTTTTGAGTGTAGGTGGGTTGGGCTTGTGGTGGGGTCATTTAACGTTTTGCGAGAGGGTGTGGGGTGTTGACACTTAAGGGGGCATGAGGGAGGGAAGGTCTAGTCAGCTGTAATAAACCTTGTGTATAGTGCATGAAGCAGTGGAGTACAGTACAGTACAGTATAGTGTAGTCGTACTGTATTGGTAAACTAATGTGGAGGTAATGATTTATGTAAACAGTTGGGGACAGTTTAAGTACATGTGATCTAGTTGCAAGTTTAATTTTCATTGTACGTAAATTACAACTTTAAACACGTTGCAGGTAACAGCTGATGTACGTGAAGGCCAATGGAGAAGTGACAGAACCTCGAGCAAGATTTAACTACCAGCATGTTACTTCAGCCTCATCAGTTAAGTTACTTGTACAGTATATCTTAGCTAGTATCTTTATCCAATAAACCACTCGACACTGCTCCTACACTGGGCAGTGGAGGGTGTGTGGGGGGTGCCTTGCTGACTGTTTGAGGCCTAATAGGTCTGTGTGTAGACCTAGTGATCAGTGTGTGAGGCCTGGCGGACACTCTTGGAGGACTGTGTTGGAGGGCTATGGAGGACGATCTGTAGACAGACTGATATTAGAGTAAAATTAATATTAGTTGTAGTGACAGTAGAAATATACAGAACTGTATGCCTATTGATTATTAGTGAAAATTAGTAGCAGTAGTAAACATAGTAAGTTAAACAAGTTGTTGTGGGTGGGTTTCAACTAACTTTACTAACCATAACCTAACCTAAGATAAACTATTCCAAGACATAAATTCAGTATTTTTTTGTCACTTACGTTAACTGATCATGAATTCATAAGTTAATTTTGAAAGAAGTTAAATTTGACTTTTGTAAATAATTAATTTTTGAAAAATTATGTACATTTGACGACAGTTTAACTACATGTTGTTTAGTGGTAGATGGATATTGTATGTTTAACATTCATTCTACATAAATGCCAACTTTAAACATGTTGCAGGTGACAGCTGATGTATGTGAAGCCCAATGGAGAAGTGACAGAACCTTGAGCAACATTTAACACCCAGCATGTTACTTCAGCCTCATCAGTTAAGTTACTTATATATATCTTGGCTATTATGGTCATCCCATAAACTACTCAACACCGTGCTTCTACACTCGGCAGTGGAGGGTGTGTGGGGGGCCTGGCTGACTGTGTGATGGAGGGTTCTGGAGGACTGTGTGTGAAGGAGGGCTCTGGAGGACTGTGATGGAGGGCTCTGGAGGACTGTGTGTGAAGGAGGGCTCGTGAGTACTGAGTGGACAGATTGGTCTTCGAGTAAAATTAATATTAGTTGTAGTGACAGTATAAATATACAGGACTACATGCCTATTGGTTATTAGAGAAAATTAGTAGTAGTAGTGGTAGTAGTAGTAAATACAGCAAGTAAAGCAAGTTGTTGTGGGTGGGTTTCAACTAACTTTACTAACCTAACTTAACCAGCCTAAGTTAATTAAACGTAATAACGTAGACTGAAGCAAATCCGTAATAAGGTCACCGCGACCCCTAGCTGGGGACGTCAAAGGCTCGGTCGGATTGGTACACCGTCAATGACTCAGCTCATCTTGGAGGGAGGGGGGGGGTGGCGAGCTACCTCCGGTGTCCTGGCTGAACTGCGAGAGGGGCAACCACTGGTGTCCTGCCTTCCTGCGAGATGGTCGTTGATCTACCCGACCCGTCTTGGGACAACAACCACGGAGTCTAGCATGTGTAGGAGTCGATGGGGTCACTGAGCCCGAAGGCGAGATGAAGGTAACGGGCGCCTGGTGCGTCTTGGGCAGATCCTCAACTGGCTGCCTCTGGCCGTGCACGTGTGGCGTTTGCGTGGTTGAGACCCTTTCCCCCCACTGGGAAAAGGGCCTTCCCCCGCGCATGACCACGTGAGTGCACATGTCGCTGCGTTTCTCTGGGTGCACACGTCGCCACCTCAGCTTGTTTGCAGCTGGGTGGGTGGAGCGGCCCAAAAAGCTCCCATCTCGCCTCCCTATTTTCCCTTCCTTCATATCTTTGAGTTATATATAAAAATAAGTGTTTTTATGTCTACTTAAATAAATTATATACAATATGCCTATATGCCTATCGATTGATTTTTATCCTAAGAGTTATCTGATAAAAATGTGAATTTATTAGGAAGGTACTGGTATGGAGGGTAGGACATGGAACACTATGAATTAGTGCTTTATTTGTAGTAATAATTATATAAACAAAATGACAACTCATAATTTATGGTTAAGTGAAAAAAAATTGTAGCTGTCGTATTTAATATTTGGTTAGGTAGGTTAAGTTAAAGTTAGGGTAGGTGAGGTTAGGTGAGGCTAGGCTAGGTTATTTCCATGTTTTGTGCCAGTTATTCACTGGCAATGGGGGGGCAATTGTACATGAACCAAGCTGTGCAGCTTTTTACAACCATGACATTGCAGGTGTGACTAGCCTACAGTATTTTAGGCCTACTTCAAAATGTTTTTTCTGTGTTTTCGATCAACTGATGTAAGTGCACAACAGCATCGTAAAGTATAACCATGTTTTTGTACTCCATTTTTATGGCAAATTTACATTTTTTAAACTATATACACTCTTTGAATATTACTGTATTGTAAAATCCTACAAAACCGTCATATATTTCTTTTGTGATGCATATATGTACAGTAAATGATATTAGTCTGTTCTGCATCCCCTTTGGCCATAGGCATTGGTGATGAAAGCATTATAAAAGCCAATGCTGCTGCTATTGTTATACAGCATTAATTTCTTCTGTTTCTTTCAGAACTATAAAAACAGAGATATAGAAGACCGAAAGCTTAAAAAGACAGGTGGTGGTCCACGAGAAAAAAATATTAAAAGCTTCAGAAGAAACTGCCTTAACAGCATCACTGATGAGGGCCGAGTTAGCAGTGGCTGGTGATTTTTACGAGACCTTCCGCAGTCACCCAGTAGATGAAGAAATAATTCCTTATAGAATGTGCAGATAGGTGAGAATATTTATTGATTTATACAGTTGTATGCATTCTCATTGATACCATTGCTCAATCGCCTTTGGCTGTGTAAAAATCAAACGGCAGCAGTGACCTACCTTATACTGACTTTTTGCAGTTTTGCCTGTTCCAACCCCAGGGCCATCAACTGTGCTCACCAGTCATTGTTCCTGCCTCGACAGTGAATGCTCCTACCTCACCAGTGAATGCTCCTGCCTCGCCAGTCATTGTTGCTTCACCAGTCATTGTTCCTGCCTCACCAGTCCTTGCTCCTGCCTCACCAACACTGGAGCAGGTTCAGGTACATTCAGGAGCCTGGGCATGCGTAACAGACGTGACCAATCGTCCAAGCGGCTAACAAGCCAATCAGTGGTGAATAGGATAAAAGTATATACATGCTGTTAGAAATTTATTTTCTTACATTTTACAATTAAATAATTTGATTTAAAGTAAATAAATCTACATTAATTTATTTTGTCCAAAAATTTCTTAAGTTAAAAAAGCCGTCGGAAGTATAGCGGCTAATATTTTGCTCACACGTCGCCGCGCTTCTCTGGGCGCACACGTCGCCGCGCTTCTCTGGACGCACACGTCGCCGCGCTTCTCTGGGCGCACACGTCGCCGCGCTTCTCTGGGCGCGCACGTCGCCACCTCAGCTTGTATGCGGCTGTGTGGGTGGAGCGACCCAAAAATGTTTGGGCGCGCCCCCACACATGCCGTCGTCCAACGGGCGTGTTTCGCCTTGTAGTAGGTGACCGCGACCAGTAGCCGGGGACGTCGAAGGTTCTGTCGGATTGGCACCCCACTACCGACTCTCTCAGCTCGTCTGAGTGGGGGGGGAGGGGGGAGTTCCGCACGACTGGGGGCAACCGCCAGTATCCTGGCTGTCCTACGACAGTCGTAGAGAAGAGCGCCGCCTCCACCTCGACTGTGGGGGTTCGCTCTCGCGATGTGCAGAGGGTCGGTGATCCACCCGACCCACCTCGGAACACGGACCACGGAGTCTAGCGTGTGTGGGAGTCGATGGGCTCACTGAGCCTGAAGGCGAGATGAGGGCAACGGACGCCTGGTGCGTCCTGGGCAGATCCTCAACCGGCTGCCTCTGGCCACGCCCGCGCGGCGTTTGCCGGGTGAGACCCCCAGGGTCTCACCCGGCGTATTGCCGCGCGAGCGCGGTCGGGGTGGTTGGTTGGGGGTCTGCCCAGGACGCACCAGGCGCCTGTTGCCTTCATCTCGCCTTCAGGCTCAGTGAGCCCATCGACTCCCACACACGCTAGACTCCGTGGTCCGTGTTCCGAGGTGGGTCGGGTGGATCACCGACCCTCTGCACATCGCGAGAGCGAACCCCCACAGTCGAGGTGGAGGCGGCGCTCTTCTCTACGACTGTCGTAGGACAGCCAGGATACTGGCGGTTGCCCCCTGTCGTGCGGAACTCCCCCCTCCCCCCCACTCAGACGAGCTGAGAGAGTCGGCAGTGGGGTGCCAATCCGACCGAACCTTCGACGTCCCCGGCTACGGGTCGCGGTGACCTACTATGAGGTGAAATACTCCTGATTAGTCCATGAGAAATCAAAGCCTCACACGCTTTGGTCTCTCGGCGCACACGTCGCCACGCTTCTCTGGCGCGCACGTCGCCACGCTTCTCTGGGCGCGCACGTCGCCACGCTTCTCTGGGCGCGCACGTCGCCACGCTTCTCTGGGCGCGCACGTCGCCACGCTTCTCTGGGCGCGCACGTCGCCACGCTTCTCTGGGCGAACACGTTCCAGCAGTTTTTCTCTGGGCGTGCACGTAGCCATTACAGTTTCCGTCACAGCATATGCTGCAGCCTTCAATGCAGTGGCCCATCGTGTCTTGACCGAGATTTATTCCACCAGTCAATGCGATAACAGCTCGTGGTTCAACATGACCGGGGTGCATGTCTCATTCTAGTACTCGAGCAAACTAAGAATAGTTCTTGCCACAAACTCGAAGCAAACAGGGTGACCCATTCTATCCTCACCTAACAATTGATGATAGTGGGTCCCACCCGCTTGAGCCCATGTCCCCACAAATGATAAAGGTTGAGCTAGTCTTGGGGCACCTGCGTTAACATTTGATAGATATACTGCCCCACTCAAACTTCACACCAAATAATGAGCGGCATGCCGACTCGTCGGCGCACGCTTCTCTGGGCGCACACGTCGCTACCTCGGTTGGGTGGGTGGAGCGGCCCAAAAATGTTTGGGCGCGCCCCCACACACACGCCGTCGTCCAACGGGCGTGTTTCGCCTCGTAGTAGGTGACCTTGACCAAGCATCCATTACCCAGCTCATAGCAGGTCTACTAGCAACACAATAAATGCGGAAAAGAGAGGCCTGGGGTGAAATTGCTGCCTCATTCAACGCCAGCAACTCTGACCAACTCCCTCGCACAGCCAAGCAGCTCAAGAGGAGCTACGGACACTTAAAAAGGAAGTAGAGTATATGCTTATTAATGTACGGTGTTTTTCCATTAGGTTACTAAATTAAGTAGGATTAGAGTATTTAAGTGACGGGTCATGTGAGGAAGCTCGCCTCCTACCGAAGTAGACAGAAGGAAAGCTCCCATCTCACCTCTCCATTTTCCCTTCCTTCATATCTTTGAGTTGTATATAAAATTAAATGGGTTTTTTATGTCTTTCATAATATCTATATGCCTATTGATTGATTTTTCTCTTAAGAGTTATCTGATAAAAATGTGAATTCATAGGGAAGGTACTGGTATGGAGGGTATAACAGTAAATAGGTGCCTCTGCCATACTTTTAGGTTCTCTTGTTTGAAATCTGTAATGCCAATTTTTACCCTGACTATATACAAGCTATATGGTTTCAGAACAATTACCCCCCCTCCCCCCCCCACATAGGACAACTGCCCTCTGGACAATTACTCCCCCCCCCTTCCTTGCCAGTGAATAACTGACACAATCATGGAACACTAAGATATAGTGCTATATTTTCATGCTTTTTTTTGTAATAATTATATACACAAAATGACGACTCATAATTTATGGTCAAGTGAAAAAAAATTGTAGATCGGTCATATTTAATATTTTGTTAGGTAAGGCTAGGCTAGGCTATTTCAAGTTAGTTAGGTTATTTCCATGTTTTGTGCCAGTTACTCACTGGCAATGGGGGGGGGGGCCAATTGTCCTAGACCCAAGCTATGCAGCATATAACTCTATATAGCAACATTTTACGACCACGACGTGCACCAAGAAAAATGTGCAAGTCTGGGGCTGGTTCCCCCACACACCTGGCAAGCCCAAATATTCTGGCAAGACAAGTTTCAAACAGGTCTGTTCAATTTTTGAAGGGTCACCTCAAAAGACTTGTCAGAAGCATACAAATCCTCATATCTATATATATTATCATATAATAATTTTTTTGCAGATATGACTGTAGCCTACAGTATTTAAGGCCTACTTCAAAAAATGTTTTGTTTGTTTGTTTTCGATCTACTGATGTAAGTGCACAACAGCATCGTAAAGTATAACCATGTTTTTGTACTCCATTTTTATGGCAAATTTACATTTTTTAAACTATATACACTCTTTGAATATTACTGTATTGTAAAATCCTACAAAACCGTCATATATTTCTTTTGTGATGCATATATGTACAGTAAATGATATTAGTCTGTTCTGCATCCCCTTTGGCCATAGGCATTGGTGATGAAAGCATTATAAAAGCCAATGCTGCTGCTATTGTTATACAGCATTAATTTCTTCTGTTTCTTTCAGAACTATAAAAACAGAGATATAGAAGACCGAAAGCTTAAAAAGACAGGTGGTGGTCCACGAGAAAAAAATATTAAAAGCTTCAGAAGAAACTGCCTTAACAGCATCACTGATGAGGGCCGAGTTAGCAGTGGCTGGTGATTTTTACGAGACCTTCCGCAGTCACCCAGTAGATGAAGAAATAATTCCTTATAGAATGTGCAGATAGGTGAGAATATTTATTGATTTATACAGTTGTATGCATTCTCATTGATACCATTGCTCAATCGCCTTTGGCTGTGTAAAAATCAAACGGCAGCAGTGACCTACCTTATACTGACTTTTTGCAGTTTTGCCTGTTCCAACCCCAGGGCCATCAACTGTGCTCACCAGTCATTGTTCCTGCCTCGACAGTGAATGCTCCTACCTCACCAGTGAATGCTCCTGCCTCACCAGTCATTGTTGCTTCACCAGTCATTGTTCCTGCCTCACCAGTCCTTGCTCCTGCCTCACCAACACTGGAGCAGGTTCAGGTACATTCAGGAGCCTGGGCATGCGTAACAGACGTGACCAATCGTCCAAGCGGCTAACAAGCCAATCAGTGGTGAATAGGATAAAAGTATATACATGCTGTTAGAAATTTATTTTCTTACATTTTACAATTAAATAATTTGATTTAAAGTAAATAAATCTACATTAATTTATTTTGTCCAAAAATTTCTTAAGTTAAAAAAGCCGTCGGAAGTATAGCGGCTAATATTTTGCTCAAGTTGCCGCGCTTTTCTGGGCGCACACGTCGCCGCGCTTCTCTGGACGCACACGTCGCCGCGCTTCTCTGGGCGCACACGTCGCCGCGCTTCTCTGGGCGCACACGTCGCCGCGCTTCTCTGGGCGCGCACGTCGCCACCTCAGCTTGTATGCGGCTGTGTGGGTGGAGCGACCCAAAAATGTTTGGGCGCGCCCCCACACATGCCGTCGTCCAACGGGCGTGTTTCGCCTTGTAGTAGGTGACCGCGACCAGTAGCCGGGGACGTCGAAGGTTCTGTCGGATTGGCACCCCACTACCGACTCTCTCAGCTCGTCTGAGTGGGGGGGAGGGGGGAGTTCCGCACGACTGGGGGCAACCGCCAGTATCCTGGCTGTCCTACGACAGTCGTAGAGAAGAGCGCCGCCTCCACCTCGACTGTGGGGGTTCGCTCTCGCGATGTGCAGAGGGTCGGTGATCCACCCGACCCACCTCGGAACACGGACCACGGAGTCTAGCGTGTGTGGGAGTCGATGGGCTCACTGAGCCTGAAGGCGAGATGAGGGCAACGGACGCCTGGTGCGTCCTGGGCAGATCCTCAACCGGCTGCCTCTGGCCACGCCCGCGCGGCGTTTGCCGGGTGAGACCCCCAGGGTCTCACCCGGCGTATTGCCGCGCGAGCGCGGTCGGGGTGGTTGGTTGGGGGTCTGCCCAGGACGCACCAGGCGCCTGTTGCCTTCATCTCGCCTTCAGGCTCAGTGAGCCCATCGACTCCCACACACGCTAGACTCCGTGGTCCGTGTTCCGAGGTGGGTCGGGTGGATCACCGACCCTCTGCACATCGCGAGAGCGAACCCCCACAGTCGAGGTGGAGGCGGCGCTCTTCTCTACGACTGTCGTAGGACAGCCAGGATACTGGCGGTTGCCCCCTGTCGTGCGGAACTCCCCCCTCCCCCCCACTCAGACGAGCTGAGAGAGTCGGCAGTGGGGTGCCAATCCGACCGAACCTTCGACGTCCCCGGCTACGGGTCGCGGTGACCTACTATGAGGTGAAATACTCCTGATTAGTCCATGAGAAATCAAAGCCTCACACGCTTTGGTCTCTCGGCGCACACGTCGCCACGCTTCTCTGTGCGCGCACGTCGCCACGCTTCTCTGGGCGCGCACGTCGCCACGCTTCTCTGGGCGCGCACGTCGCCACGCTTCTCTGGGCGCGCACGTCGCCACGCTTCTCTGGGCGCGCACGTCGCCACGCTTCTCTGGGCGCGCACGTCGCCACGCTTCTCTGGGCGAACACGTTCCAGCAGTTTTTCTCTGGGCGTGCACGTAGCCATTACAGTTTCCGTCACAGCATATGCTGCAGCCTTCAATGCAGTGGCCCATCGTGTCTTGACCGAGATTTATTCCACCAGTCAATGCGATAACAGCTCGTGGTTCAACATGACCGGGGTGCATGTCTCATTCTAGTACTCGAGCAAACTAAGAATAGTTCTTGCCACAAACTCGAAGCAAACAGGGTGACCCATTCTATCCTCACCTAACAATTGATGATGGTGGGTCCCACCCGCTTGAGCCCATGTCCCCACAAATGATAAAGGTTGAGCTAGTCTTGGGGCACCTGCGTTAACATTTGATAGATATACTGCCCCACTCAAACTTCACACCAAATAATGAGCGGCATGCCGACTTGTCGGCGCACGCTTCTCTGGGCGCACACGTCGCTACCTCGGTTGGGTGGGTGGAGCGGCCCAAAAATGTTTGGGCGCGCCCCCACACACACGCCGTCGTCCAACGGGCGTGTTTCGCCTCGTAGTAGGTGACCTTGACCAAGCATCCATTACCCAGCTCATAGCAGGTCTACTAGCAACACAATAAATGCGGAAAAGAGAGGCCTGGGGTGAAATTGCTGCCTCATTCAACGCCAGCAACTCTGACCAACTCCCTCGCACAGCCAAGCAGCTCAAGAGGAGCTACGGACACTTAAAAAGGAAGTAGAGTATATGCTTATTAATGTACGGTGTTTTTCCATTAGGTTACTAAATTAAGTAGGATTAGAGTATTTAAGTGACGGGTCATGTGAGGAAGCTCGCCTCCTACCGAAGTAGACAGAAGGAAAGCTCCCATCTCACCTCTCCATTTTCCCTTCCTTCATATCTCTGAGTTGTATATAAAATTAAATGGGTTTTTTATGTCTTTCATAATATCTATATGCCTATTGATTGATTTTTCTCTTAAGAGTTATCTGATAAAAATGTGAATTCATAGGGAAGGTACTGGTATGGAGGGTATAACAGTAAATAGGTGCCTCTGCCATACTTTTAGGTTCTCTTGTTTGAAATCTGTAATGCCAATTTTTACCCTGACTATATACAAGCTATATGGTTTCAGAACAATTACCCCCCCTCCCCCCCCCACATAGGACAACTGCCCTCTGGACAATTACTCCCCCCCCCTTCCTTGCCAGTGAATAACTGACACAATCATGGAACACTAAGATATAGTGCTATATTTTCATGCTTTTTTTTGTAATAATTATATACACAAAATGACGACTCATAATTTATGGTCAAGTGAAAAAAAATTGTAGATCGGTCATATTTAATATTTTGTTAGGTAAGGCTAGGCTAGGCTATTTCAAGTTAGTTAGGTTATTTCCATGTTTTGTGCCAGTTACTCACTGGCAATGGGGGGGGCCAATTGTCCTAGACCCAAGCTATGCAGCATATAACTCTATATAGCAACATTTTACGACCACGACGTGCACCAAGAAAAATGTGCAAGTCTGGGGCTGGTTCCCCCACACACCTGGCAAGCCCAAATATTCTGGCAAGACAAGTTTCAAACAGGTCTGTTCAATTTTTGAAGGGTCACCTCAAAAGACTTGTCAGAAGCATACAAATCCTCATATCTATATATATTATCATATAATAATTTTTTTGCAGATATGACTGTAGCCTACAGTATTTAAGGCCTACTTCAAAAAATGTTTTGTTTGTTTGTTTTCGATCTACTGATGTAAGTGCACAACAGCATCGTAAAGTATAACCATGTTTCTGTACTCAATTTTTAATGGCAAATTTACAGGTTTTAAAACTGTCTACAGGCCCTTTAAATATTGCTGTATTGTAAAATTCTACAAAACCGTCATATATTTCTTTTGTGATGCATATATGTACAGTAAATGATATTAGTCTGTTCTGCATCCCCTTTGCTCATAGGCATTGGTGATGAAAGCATTATACAAGCCAATGCTGTTGCTATTGCTATACAGCATTAATTTCTTCTCTTTCTTTCAGAAATATAAAAACAGAGATATAAAAGACCGAAAACTTGAGGGCCGAGTTAGCAGTGGCTGATGATTTTTACGAGACTTTCCGCAATCACCCAGTAGATGAAGAAATAATTCCTTGTGGAATGTGCAAGTAGGTGAGAATATTTATTGATTTATACAGTTGTATGCACTCCCATTGATACCATTGCTCAATCTCCTTTGGATGTCTAAAAATCAAACGGCAGCAGTGACCTACCTTATACTGACTGTTTGCAGTTTTCCCTGTTCCAACCCTAGGGCCATCAACTATGCCTCACCAGTCATTGTTCCTGCCTCACCAGTGAATGCTCCTGCCTCACCAGTCAGTTTTCCTGCCTCACCAGTCATTGTTTCTGCCAGGGCCGGCGCCAGCCTATTTGGCGCCCTTAGCAGGACTGCAGCTGGCGTCCCCACCCGCCTCCCACTTCACGATTGGGTTTGCCCACAAAGTAATCCAGGTACCATATTGAAGAAACTGTTTACCTTACACTGATCTATTTTAATTTGCTAATACATACATTAATTAGCAAATACTCTTAAGCACAATACAATAATGGCATGAAAAGTGACTGTAAAGAAACACTCAAAATCAAACTACTATTGTATTTAAACATTAAGCAATTCAATTAACATGTCATGACATTCTGGATTCCGCCGTTTTCTCGTTTTCGCTACGTGCCTGCTTATAACCGTTAACTTGATTCCTGGAAGCGAATTCGTCGATTACATCGTCATACGATAACTAGAGAGTCTAGACACTGCAATGTTCACACTGATGATGGCCAACTCACTAAGATGTTCCTGCGCCATTGTGGATCGCAATAAGTTTTTATCAGTTTTAACTTAGAAAAGCTCCGCTCTGCTGCCGACACCGTTACAGGGAGAGTTGCACAGATCCGCAGAGCTACCCACAAGTTCGGGAATACTTCAGTAAGTTTCTTTTCATGCAGGAAGGTGAGAAAATCCATTGTCATATTCTTGGAAGGCAAATCTGGGAGACACTGCAGCTCCATGGCCAGTTCCCTTCCATCAATGTCTGAGTTTCCCCCATGAGTAAGCGTGTTGCTGAGGGTTTGGCAGTGATCGACAATATCTTTGTCAGACATGTCGGTGAACCCCAACAATACCTTGAACTTTTCATTCACCTCGCCCAAGGTCTTGAACCTCTCATTAAGAGAGGAAATCACAGTATCCACTACCACATTGAAAAATGTAGTCTCCATCCTCTTGAGTACATCGCTGACAGGTTCGTCTGCACACTCATAGCTAAAGTGACATTTTTTAGTTCTTGGTCTCTTCTGTTTCAGCACCGTGTCTACGCTCATCGCTTCAGATTTCTTTAGCAATAGTTAGTGCATCAGCAAAACCTGTATTTCTGTAGCTGACAATATCATCTCTGGTCTTTTTGAGCAGATCTACAGCCACGCCGAGCTGTATCGTACTCGACTGCATTAGTTTGCTCACGTGCTGAATTTTGCTGAGTATATCATACCACACAACTGAACAAATGACAAAACGGTATGACCCTACTTCCTCTGCCAACGATTAAGCCTCAACTTTGACGACAGGGTCAGTTGCAGATTCTCTGTGCTCCAAAAGCGCTTCTTTGATTTGCGCAGGTTGATATCTAATTGCCTCCACACTTTTTACTCGGCTTTCCCATCTGACGTCTGACCACGGTTTCAGATTGATATTAACATGTTTAAAAGAACTTGCCACCTCTGAGGAGACTGAAAACAATGTGAATTCTTTCGTTAAATATCCAAAGTAACAAGTTGCATTTAGGGAGCTCTTGGCAGCGTCGCCTAATATCAAATTCAAATTATGGGCACCACAAGGGTCAAATAAGGCCCGAGAATTCTGTTGAAGCCTGGCTTGAACTCCTTTGATGTTTCCTCTCATATTTGCTTCATTGTCGTAGGATTGACCTCGATAATCCTCAAAAGAAATGTTCATTTGTTTGTCTTCCGAGTAGAAGTCATGACAAATTTAGCCCTGTAGACTTCTCTACCTCAAGGAACCCCAAGAAATGCTCCTTTATTGTTGGCTTGTCTTCAAGAAAGTTGCTCTTTGCGACTCAAATCAGGGGTGCAGTCTAAAATTGAGAAGTATTTCGATGCTTTGATATCGTCCATGATTCTCTCAGTAATCTTTGCACTGATAATGTTAATCAGTTCATTTTGGATCATTTGGCCAAGGTAGTGAGTGTGACTGTGATTGCCTGCATTACTTTCAACCCTACTTAAATGATTCTCCATAACGATCAAATTTAACCAAAAGTTCCACTTCTTGGAGAAAAATACCATTGGATTGACAGTTAAGTTTTTCGGTTGACCCTCTAGAGCCAAATTGCTTTCAGCTAGAGACTGAATAATCGCCATTAGTCTAGTGAGGACTTGGCGCCACCTGTTCCACTCAGCCATTAACATTTCCATTTCCCGTCTGTCTATCGTCCTTCCTCTTGCAATGTTGACCTCCAGTTCCTTCTATGTTGTCATGTTTTTAGTGTGTTCTATGCTACTTTCATGTGTGCTGAGCAAATGACTAGCATTTTTTCAATCATTGATGCCTTCTTCAGCCATTCTAACATGTTTTGTAGAAAACATTTTACAACAGAAGCAAAAAAGTTTATCCTGTTTCACCAAATACATTAGCCAACTTCTTTGGATCTTCTCTCCATTTACTAAGATTCGGCGAAAGTAATCATGTTGACATCTTCTCCCATCCTTTTTTGGAAACACATATTTAAGATCAACTTGTAAGGTCCTCTGCAAACAAGTTCTGCTTTTTTCCTGGTTGGACATTGAGAATGGCCAGTCGGTAGGGTCAACAAGTGCAACCTTAATCTACGACTCTCAATATGGGTTTACAAAGGGAAAATCTTGTCTAACAAATCTGCTAACGTTTTTTAGGAAAGTCTTCGAGGTAGTAGATAATGACGAAAATTACGATGTTATTTACTTAGACTTTAGCAAAGCATTTGACAGAGCACCGCATCAGAGTCTTCTGAGAAAAATTAAGGCTCATGGTATCGAGGGGAAAGTTTTAAATTGGATAAAATCATGGCTCACCGATAGAACTCAGAGGGTCAGCGTAGATGGTGTTAAATCTGAGTGGGGCCGTGTAACCAGTGGGTTCCCCAGGGGTCAGTACTAGGCCCACTCTTGTTCATAATCTACATAAACGATCTAGATACTGGGATCAGCAGTGACATAAGCAAGTTTGCGGATGACACCATAATAGGGCGGCAAATTAATTCAGGGCAGGATGCAAATGCATTACAGAAGGATCTAAATATACTGCAGGGGTGGTCTGAAAAATGGCAAATGAAATTTAACACCAGCAAGTGCAGCGTACTTAATATTGGAAGAACATATACTTATAATGTATACAGCCTTAACAACATCAACCTAGAGAAGTCGACTTGTGAAAGAGACCTAGGGGTACCTGTAAGCCCGGACCTACGGCCTAGAAAACAGTGTGTTAATGTTCGAAATAAGACAAACAGAGTATTGGGTTTTATATCTAGAAGTGTAAGTAACAAGAGTGCAGAGGTCTTATTGCAACTATATCTTGCGCTAGTCAGACCGCACTTCGATTATGCGGTTCAGTTCTGGTGCCCCTATTATAGAATGGATATAAATTCACTTGAGTAGGTGCAGCGAAGAATGACATAAATGATTCCGGGACTTGGAAACCTTCCATATCAGGATAGGTTAAAGAAACTTAACTTGCATTCCCTAGAAAGACGAAGAGTGCGGGGAGATATGATAGAAGTATTTAAGTAGGTGAAAGGAATCGATAAAGGGGATATAGATAAAGTTCTTATAATATCCGAGCAGGATAGGACTCGGAGCAACGGATTCAAGTTGGATAAGTTTAGGTTTAGGAGGGAGATAGGAAGAAACTGGTTCACAAATAGGGTGGTGCGGGAACTCTGGAAAGTTTCAAAAGGAGGCTAGATAGATTCATGGATGATAGTGGTAGTAACTCTCGACAGGAGCTGCCATGCACAGGCCAACCAGCCTATTGCAGACTCCTTATGTTCTTCGGTGCAGCCCTGGATGCAGCACATTCGAGCTGTGGTGGTGACACTGTTGGCTGTGAAGAATGGAGCTGTGGTGGTGACACTGTATCTGTTGGCTGTGAAGAATGGAGCTGTGGTGGTGACACTGTATCTGTTGGCTGTGCAGAATGGAGCTGTGGTGGTGACACTGTATCTATTGGCTGTGAAGAATGGAGCTGTGGTGGTGACACTGTATCTGTTGGCTGTGAAGAATGGAGCTGTGGTGGTGACACTGTATCTGTTGGCGCCCTTAGCATCTTTAGCGCCCTTAGCATTTGCTAACCTCGCGTAATGGAAGCGGCGGCCCTGGTTCCTGCCTCACCAGTCATTGTTCCTGCCGTGTCACATTCTAATTGTATGATAACCGATTACCACTTCATAATGACCAAAATTCAGATAACTTATAGTGAATGATATTCTATTTTATTGTTATATGTGAATTATTTGTGTATGGGAAATTATATTTTGTATTAATGATTTAGTGTGTGCACCATATTGTGAAACCAATAACCGAAAGTATGTTATTTAAAGAATGTGTAACTACTACAGTATATACATGTTTTCTGAATGTTACCGCATAATATGAATCTTGGGGAAGGGGTGTCATGGTCATAATGACATGGCTAGTCTGTCAAAACCTAATAATTCATATTACTCTCCACACCCACAAAACCTGTAAACCTTTTTGAGTCTCCCAGTTGAAACATTCGTCTCTAACCACTTCAGGAGATAGTCTTCCGTTATCTATGTCGCATTACCATAGAAACTCAAGTACTGTATACCTAAATTCCGCACAGGATGTTCATGCATTTGAATTGGTAAGAGAATACCCTTGCTTTGCGTCAACTTAGAGATGTCTGATTGCAGTTGAAGCATTCAAGATCCGTTGTGACTGATGTTGAAAGCTTCAATTGTATTTACTGTTAGTGTAATTGTCAATATAAGTCAGGGTAGAGTCGGCAGCGAGAGTGAGGTATCATTGGCGTCTGCCCTAGAGATGTTGACCGTGGCTGAAGTCACCCTCTTTTTACATATGAAAATCAGAGAATCTGATGTTCATGGTGTAATTGTTGTAAGGATGTTAATTATGAAATTAATTAACCTGAAGGGAACTGTCAGACCAAGTATCTTTCAGAATCTACTGGGTGTAATCGACAGCTCAGGCAGAGCTGTTGGGTGAGTGGAACTCGAAGCTGATCGAGGGAGGAGTAGTGCGGGGCACTGACGCTCTCAGGCATCAGTCCAGCGTCTGAAACTCCTCCACGCACAGGTAATGTCCAGCTCCGTGTTATAGTTTGAATATGCAAGTGATACAGTAACGTAACTGACGTGTATTAAGTGAAGTAATCTCACGCCATTAGCGTCCTTTTGAAACGTTGACGTTCATGTCGACAAACTCGGCCCAGTGTCTGAAACTCCTCCACCCACAGGTTCCTCTTGGCCAAGAGCCTTGTAGATTGGGACGACCTCCACACTAATTTGGGAGATGGATGAAGGCCAGTGAACTCGGGTAAATTCGTGAACACGAGCGTCAGGAACTAACCACCTCCTCTGGGATCCAGTCAACTGGTCAGCCGTTCAATGTCCAGTTTGTTGATATCACAGGCAGAGCAAACAGTGCCAGCCCCCTTCATTGTTATGGGTGAGTCCACTACTCAGTAGGGGTATATGGTGGCTGTGTTATTCCTCTGAATACACCTGTATGTATTCACCTGAATTGTCTGAGTGTTTGGAGTCAGCAAGAGTAGGTTGACCATCAGTTTGTGCGTGGGCAAAGGTACCATAGTGGTGAAGAGAAGCTACTAATTCTGGTGATGTTAAAGTATTAGTGTTGGTGCTGTAACTGGCATCATTGCCACTTGTAATAGTGCTCAAAGGTGCTATGTAAGAGTATTGTGTGTGTTCTTGTACATGTAAGTGGAAAATGTACCTAAGTTTAACAGTACCAAATAAGTAAAGCCAGGGAGTTGACCCCCATCATTCTCTCCCATTGCTTGATATCAGAATTACAGTGTACCCATGTCATAACCCCCGAGCCACAATACCAAAGATCAAGAGGTTATG